CTAAAAGGGGAAAATGGTCACATTGGAACCAAACAATCAAAACATACTAAAATAAATTTAAATGCGAATGCAGTAAAAGCATTTAATAAATTAAAGCAAATTTTAGCTTTAGAAGATGTACTTCTACAGCATCCAGACTACGATAAGGCCTTCGAGCTTACCACTAATGCATCATCAGTAGCTTTAGGAGCAGTATTGTCTCAAGAGGGTAGACCAATAACAATGGTCTTTAGAACCCTAAGTAAATGTGAAGAAAACTACGCTACAAACGAACGCGAATTACTAGCAATAGTTTGGGCTTTACAAGCGTTACGCCACTACTTATATGGTGTTGGAAACCTGAAAATCTTTACAGATCATCAACCCCTCACATTTTCAATATCGGACAAGAATCCAAATTCAAAAATTAAAAGATGGCGTGCATTTATAGAGGAATTTTCCCCAAAATTCTTCTATAAACCAGGGAAAGAAAACAAAGTAGTAGACGCCTTATCTAGACAATACATTAATAATTTGACTTCAGACGGAAATACAGTCCACAGTGAAGAATCTTCATCTGCTATAATTAAAACAGTAAACACCCCTGTACACCAATTTAGAAATCAACTAATTTTGTCTCATTGTAATTCAAATAATAAAAACACTAAAATCCTATTTAAAAAATTTGTACGCCACACAATAAATTTCAAAAACACAGAATTTCTTTTAAATACAATCAAAGATAAAATAAAACCAAATGTAGTAAATGGTCTACATTGTGATCTACCAACTTTGGCAACAATTCAAAATTTGTTAAGGAAAGAATATCCAGGTGTTAAATTCATTTACACGGAGAAACTTGTCATCGATTTGACCAATAGAGAGGATTAAATGGAGACAGCAACAACAGAGCACAACAGAGCCCATAGATGTCTCCACGAAAATCATAAACAAATAACGGAAGAATACTACTTCCCAAAAATGAAAACGATTCTCAAAACTATCATCGCAAACTGTAGGATTTGCCACGAAAATAAGTACCAAAGAAAACCACCAAATCCAGGTATCGATGAAACTCCAATACCAAATTATCCCGGAGAAATACTCCATATAGATATTTTAATAACAAATAAGTCGTACTTTTTAACAAGTATCGATAAACTGACAAAATTTGCAATAGTTACACCGATAGCGTCAAGAACAACATCGGATATTAAATTAGGTCTGCTACAAATTTTAAATAAATATAAAAAAACCAGGCTTATCGTTACGGATAATGAAAAAGCATTCCAATCGAATGCATTATCCACTTTTTTACGTGATCATTTTGAAATCACGCAATTTTTCGTACCAACGCTCCATAGTGAAAGCAACGGTCAAGTTGAACGATTACATTCAACGTTATTGGAAATTGCTAGATGTTGTAAGGCTCAGCAGCAAATAGCTGATATAACCGAGCTCATACTATTAGCTGTTAGAATTGTTAGAATCACCAAAAACATGTGTTTACTTTATGAACGTTTTATTAAGACTAAAAGAATATAGAGAAATAGAAATTTACATTTTTACAAACTAAAGCAAGGATTACATAGATGAGACAGATACTATGCGTTGATATTTAACACTTCTCCTCAACGCAAGATATCTATACAATTAAATTTCTCTTAATGAATACCCATTTCATCTTCAGAATTTTTTCCACTTAACGCTTGTTGAACTGTGTCTGGTATTATCATACTTTGTTGTGATAATGCACCTACAGTATTATATCGTTTTATCGGACGTCCTGGTTTACCTGTGTATTCTATACGAGGTCTTCCAGCTACCCTTTTCTGGGTTTTAGCAATTGCTACATCTTCTGAGATGTCACTCTTTACACTACTAATTTCTTCATCTCCTTCTTGTAAGCATTCGGCAATTTCTTTTATTTCATTGTCACATTGCTGCTGTGGCTCCATTTCAAAAAATACGTACTCTGATCTAGGTGATTCCATCATATTTTCTAAAAATATGATATCTCTACTCACAACAAATTTCTTTGTATTATTGTCAACTAGGCGATATGCTTTAGATTGATCTGAATATCCAACAAATATCATTTCTTTGCCCTTAGCACGAAATTTGTGTTTCTCGGTTTTGTCAAGAACAACAGCTGGACATCCAAAAATTCTAAAATGTGATACTGACGGCTTTCGCCCACTCCAAATTTCAAAAGGTGTTTTATCAGTCAGAGCTTTTGTAATAGATCTGTTGCGTATGTACACTGATGTTAAGATTGCTTCCGCCCAATATGCTTCATCCAACCCTGAAAACACTAGCATACTCCTGGCCATCTCCACTAAGGTCCTATTAGCTCTTTCTGCGACTCCATTCTGTTGAGGAGTATATGGCACTGTTGTTTGTTTTTTTGATGCCATGTTCAGCTAAATAACTATCAAATATCTGGTTACAATACTCGCCACCATTGTCAGAACGTAAAATTTTGATTTTCTTTTCTGTTTCACGTTCAACCTTTGCTTTGTACAATTTAAACATCTCGAACACATCGGATTTGTTTCTTAATAAATAGACTTGTACGTAACGGGATTTATCATCTATGAACGTTACGAAATATTGATAACCCGAGAAAGACTTTTTATTCATAGGACCGCACACATCGCTATGAATTATTGTAAGAAGTTCATTTGACCGATTTTCCGACGACATAAATGGTTTTACACAAACTTTGCTTTTCGCACACGTTTTGCAAGTATGATCATTTCGATTGTTCTTATCTATTTTTAAATGTAGTCCACGCACTATATTTTTATTTGCCATTTCTTTTAATGCTGTGACATTTATATGGCCAAAACGATTATGCCATTTCACTACACTTTCATCATTATTGTGTATGTAATTGGCTTTATTCGTATAGTCAACTTCACTTTCAAATACATACAAATCATTTTTTCTTTCTGCCTTAATTACGCATTGTCCAAAAACATTTCTAATTATAGCACCCGAATTAGAAAAATTTACAGTACTTTTATCCGCCGTCACCCGATTGACAGAAATAAAGTTGTTTTTTAATGCTGGTACGTACAGTACATTTTTCGCAGTTAAAAACAATTCTCCAACTTTAATTCGAATTTCACCACGACCGCACGCTTCAATTGTTTTATTATCTGCAAGCCAAACTTTTTCGCAACTATATAAGAGGTGTGTAAAATATGAGCGGTCACAACACATGTGAGTAGACGCTCCACTGTCAATGCACCACGATTTATAAGTTAGAGCACTGCTCTCTGCTGTTGCTGCTACTACTCGTGATAGTTTATGGTCACCTTTCTTTGACTTTTCGCTCTCCTTTTCGCAGTTTTTTCTATTTCTGCACTCCGATGTAAAATGCCCGCGTTTAGCACAAATGTAGCATTTGATGTTCTTTTTGCCTTTCTTATTCTTGTTGCCGTTATTTTGTGGTTGTTCGCTTGAATTTTGTGACTTCATATCGGCATAATATGCTGCTTGCTGTATCTGATTACCCTTCTGCAACCTTCGATCAGCTTCTTCAATTAACTTCACTTTTAAGTCATTAAGTTTTGGAAAAATCTCTCTTGCTTCGATTGCAACCACAAAATTATCATATGATTCCGGTAAACTGGTCAGTAAAATAATTGATAACACCTCCTCTGGTATTACTGTATCAACCTGTGTAAGCATTTCTGCAATTTCCGCAAATTCAGTTATATGCGCAGGTACACTTGAACCCATGCAGTTTCAATGCCATGAGCTTTTTGAACAAAGTGACCTTTCTAGCTGGTCCTTTTCTCTGATACACCTCACTTAGTGTATTCCAAGCTTCAGTGGCAGTTTTGCTGTGTTTCACAAAATTCAGCTGCGATGAATGCAGACACAAAATAATTGTTGCAAGCGCCTTTTCATCTTTATTTTCAAATGCCGCTTTGGACTCAGGTGTTGATCCTGGAGCAATTTTTCCTGCTACTACTGGCCAGAGTTCATTATGTATCAACACACTCCTCATTTGAATCGACCATGATGAATAATTCTTTTCATTCAATTTTTCAATTGCATACAGACCAGACCCACTCATTATTTTCGTTTATGTTTCAAATCAATTTCAAAAAAGATATAAGTAATATATTATGAAATCGCGACACACGCGTATTAATTGATTTACTTTAAAAAAAAAAATTTTAATAATACAAACTGAGCTTGCCTGGGCCCATAACCTGTTAGAATTGTTAGAATCACCAAAAACATGTGTTTACTTTATGAACGTTTTATTAAGACTAAAAGAATATAGAGAAATAGAAATTTACATTTTTACAAACTAAAGCAAGGATTACATAGATGAGACAGATACTATGCGTTGATATTTAACATTAGCCACTATTAAATACAATAATACCGTACATTCTGTAACAGATTCCAAGCCGGTTGATTTGCTTGACTCCAAATATAGTAAAACAATTTCAAAAGTTAAAGAGAAAATTATGGAATCTCAAGAAAAACTACTAAGCAGAGCTAATAGGGATATACATCGTACATCCTATAAACCGGGAGACGTAGTTTTTATAAAAAGAAATAAACAATTAGATAACAAGTTTAATAAAATTTTTGAGGAAGGGACTGTCGAACGAGATCTAGGCACTACTGTCCTGATTAATGACAGAAAAATTCATAAAAGTAATCAGCGATAATTATTTTCTCTCGTTTTTTTTTTATTAGGCTACTACTATTTTGTAAACTTGCAACATCAAGGATCATAGATTACACACCAGCACATTTCATAGCGGTCACACATGGAAACGCCGTAATATATGAAAATTATTTTTACCTGCTACACTCAACCAACTTATCAGAATATGAGGAAATGGTTATGGACAACACACATTTTTTGATCACAACGTCTACAGTAAAGATATCCTAGTAAAGCAAACACAGGATATTCAGCGAATCAGAAAGACATTGCGGACCACGTCGATTTGCAAGATCGATCGACTTTATTGGATCAGCGCTAAAATTCGTAGCAGGAACCCCGGATCGTGACGATTTCCAATTGTTATCAACCAAACAGAATATGCTAATAGAAAATAATAATAGACAGACAAACATCAACTCTGTAATACAGAACCAAATTAACGAACTTACAGACAGAATAAACGACTTAAAGACAGCAAAAAATTCTGATAATTCTATCTCGAAAGATGAAGAAATTCTGAAACAACATATCATGAATAGAAATAATTATGTTATCAATCATTTAGATAATTTAGCTCTTTCCGTGGTCTTGGCAAAAAATAATATGATTAATCCACTTATCTTATCTATCTGATTGACTCTGAAAATGTACCACTTAGTTTAAATACCATATTAAGTGTATCCGATGTAAAAGTTTTACAAAATAAAGAAATCATTTTATATGTAATAAAAGTTCCTAGAATAAATAAATATTGTAACTATGTTAAGATATTTCCTGTTATTCATAATAATTCTATAATAAGTTTAGATATAGATGCGGCAGCGGATTGTGATGGCATTATGCAACCGATTCAAAATTGCTTAAATACTTCTATAGCAAACATCTGCAGCTCAGCAACATCATCTTGCCTGTCACAGTTATTAAATAATAACACAGCTGCATGTTCCACCGAATCATCACATAATCTACCATTAATTCAGCAGGTACAAGAAGGTACCATAATATTAAACGATGTTTCATCCACTACGGTTGAAGACGTTCATAAATTTAATATATCGGGCACATTCCTGATAACATTTAAAAATGAAATTACCATAAACGGCACAAAATACAAAGTCACAAAAAACATGACTGATCTCGAACCTCATGCCCCGAAATTTCTCGACATTAAGTTTCTGGAACATAACACGAAACTTTCTTTGCCATATCTTCACAGAATACATATTGAGAATACGAATCATATCTCAACACTAAGTGAAGAAATAAGTTTCCAAAAACGAAACTGGTGGCTCACTATTTTACTTGTATTAATTCTGGTAATAGCAGTAACAACATTTCTAATGGTTTGATCATGCAGAGAAAGAGTAAAATCAAAATCAATATTTGATGACATCATAAATCAATTAACTGGTCGAAACGGGGGCGTTGCGAATTTAAGAGAGGGAAGAGTTAATGCCGGTGTCACTTAATGTCACAAATACCTAATTAAGCTAAGGTTGCAGCGTCGAAAATATAATTCAATTCATGCTAAATAGCATGCAGGTGCTACTATCATCGCCCCTACCTGTTGCAGATGCAACGTGCATCGCAGACGATCGCATTTCTCGTGGGAAACTACGCGAGCAACAGTTCCTGTTGATGCTGCATATTTTATTATTAAGTTAGACTATAAGAACTAATGTAAGATTTTATTCAAATCAGTTTTTTATCAATCTTAGAAATAAACGGTTCGGAGTAATCCGAAAGGAAAGAAATCGTAAAGAACTCATTAATTTATACAAGCGGAGAGATAAATAGAACATGTTTAAATGTTTTTAAGAACGTCTGCCAGAACCGACAATGACCATGAATTGCAGTAGAAACCCATCAACAATAGAAGAGGTGTATATTATTATTCTACAAGCGAGGCATCAATCTTATACATATCGTGTGCCACCGTTTTCAAATTATCACAAAGGAAGTTTACCTAATTCTAGCAACGTGAATTTCAGCAATAATTTTAATCAAAACAGAGGTTATAATCCAAATTATTTGTAGCCCAAAATGGAAGGAAAATGTCAAAGTAATATTAAAGCTTTAGGGAAAGAAATTGTTATTCATAAGTTATGTAGATTTTCCATTTTTGAGTACAGAAATATTAATGTAAATTAATTAATGTAAAAAACTATTATTGCTCATTCCTTGAATGCGACATAAAGAACAAGTTTGATGGCATAATCGGAAATCATATTTTGGTAGAACTAAATTGTACAATTAGTTATTCAAAAAAAGTATTAATAACGAAAAATTCAGCAATAAAGATATATTTAAATGAAGAAGATGAAACTAACGAGATTAACAATATAAAATTATTTACTAATACATTAGAATACACATTTGGCAAAATAAAACAGATTATTTAACCCATTAAGTACCAGGCAAGTTTAAACTTGAAATTTTATGGTGAAATTTTCAGAAAGGTCTTATTTTACGTTCAAAATATTCCCTGCAAAATTAAATTTTTTTTTGAAAAGTAGTTTTCCGGAAAAGTGCCGTGTGATCAACCACACGCTGGGCCCCATAGCACATTTTTTTCTCTTCGATATTACAAACATTTTTATATGTGTTTTGTTCGCAAATATGGAATTCAGTTACTTTTATGATTAAGTATCTATCATTGTAAGTTGTATAAAGTACTAGTAAGTATAAAATTCAATGTTTTATGCTTTTCAAACAATTATTAATCAAAAAAATATATTTGAATTATTACATATGAATTATATTATATAAAATAAATAAGGTTACTTGCGTCATTGTCTACGATCAATGTAATATTATTTGTTTTCATAGAAAATTTTAAAGCAATTTTTTACATGACCACTTTTCACATATAAAAACGGTGGTTTTGGTAAATTTCCCGGAAGATAAACATCTTCTGCAGCACTGTGACTTTTGTTTTTCAAATCATCGAAAGCGGTAGCTTTTGTAATGAACATTGAGTTCTTTGATGGAAGACGAAGGTTTCTGGTAATGAAGTTCTTGTAGTCTAACTGAGGCATCGGTTTTGTGTTGGTAGAAGCAGCGACAAAGCAATTTAGTTTCCAAGCATTTACTACAGCGCTATCTAAACACTGTACCTATAATGGCCACCACCCCTTTTTGCTTCTATTCCCGATATGATAGTTATGCAACTCCGTTGTCATTAAATCGACGCCGCCCATGTGTCCGTAGTAACTGTTGATAACTTGAGACTGCGGGACATCAACCTTTTATTCTCTCTGCAATAGCGTTGCACACTTACTATGGATTCAACGGAATCATACAGTATGTTGCTATGGATACTTACAATGGCTCAATGATTCCTTTACAACAAATGCACCGATTCCCAATTGTTGTATTTGTCAGTTGCACTGGAGTATGACAGAAACTGGAAGATATACCCACTATCCAAAGAAAGTGTTCATAGCTTATAACCGAAACGTATTGGTTTTACAAGTTCCAATGTGAATAGTTGCGACTCAGGCATTTCTACAAGACCACCATAATCTTGTACATTTGATTCGTATACAACTTCAATAGTACCTAAATATCATCTCACAATTAGACACGCGAAATTCAAAAAAGGGAACAAAATTTTAAAGTCGCATGTAATGTTTATTGATATTTCATCATCGTCAATCATTTCATTGTCTGATTCACCAGCAACATTATCAGGTGGCAAACATTATTATTCAATAGGTAGCGGAGTGTCACTTGGCACTAACGAGTCATCTTTGCTCCAATTGTCAATAATATGCAATAGTTCCTGATTTCTTAGATATCTTAGGCACGACATTATAATTTTATTTACAGTAAAAAATTAACGACAGAACTTTTTGCATGAACAAATGTAAGCCTTATATTAAACAATCAAATTCAGACTAACTCAACTAGCAATTAAATAACAAAATAGACTTATTACTATTATACATAGTAAAAAACACAAGTTTAAGTTAATTAGAAGAGTATTATATTTATTAGAGAGATTGCTCTCATTTTATTTCATTACCTAACGACAAACATTTATATGGCATTGTTTCATCATTATATTGTTATGGGACCCAGCGTGTGATTCACCACACGCCTTTTTTCGCCGGCGTCTGGTGGCAAGTAACTGTTACTAAGGCGCAGCCAAAGATTACGAAAATTATATTTGGACTTTTGTGAACACATATTATAACAAATATATTAGTTTTTATTTCTATTTATTTTAATTTTCATTTAATTAAAAAAAGCATTTTTTTGGACACTTTTTATTTCGGACCAGGTAAACTCATGAACAGATGAAAACTGTTCGAAATATGTATTTTTATGTTATTAAGATATCAAACTAAGTAACAAAAATAAAATACATTGAATTAATTACTAATATAAATATTTTTAAGAAGTTTTCAAAGTTAGCCGTGTGCTGTACCACACGGAGGTACGAAATGGGTTAAATAGAAAAAATTCATAAATACTTAAGTCAATTATTGTTGAAAATTATAAAGTTTTTGATAATGACATTAATGGCAAATTCTCCTTTACAAATGAAATCAATCACAAAATAATAACAAAAAATGATGTACCAATCTACTCAAAGTATACAGATACCCTCAAATATATAAAAATGAAATATATAAGCAAATAAAAGAAATGTTGGGTCAGGGAATAATCCAAGAATCGCATAGTCCATATAATAGTCCCATTTGGATAGTGCCAAAAAAAATCAGTGCAATGAGAAAAAATGACGAATAGTAATTGACTATCGCAAACTTAAAGATGTAATAATTGAAAACAGATTTACAATTCCGAATATGGACGACATATTTGACAAATTAGGAGATTTAAGTTCTTCTCAACATTGAATCTGGCAAAAGGATTTCACCAGATTGAAATGCATCCAAATGATTTATCAAAAACTGCATTCTCAAACTGCGAATGGGCACTACGAGTTCTTGCGTATATTATTTGGCCTGCGAAATGCTCCTTCTACATTTGAAAGATTAATGAATTGTGTTTTAAAAGAATTTATTGGGAAAAATTGTCTTGTTTATTTAGACGATATCATCATTTTCTCTTTAAGCATAGAAGAACATTTTGACTCACTTAATAAAATCTTAAATTGCCTTGGTAAATATAATCTGCAAGTTCAGTTAAACAAGTGCACATTTTTAGTTCAAGAGACAGAATATTTAGAACATTTAATCACATCTAAAGCAGTGACGACGCGTGTCCTATGTGGAAGGGTGTGCGGCCGTTCTTTAATGTTGTTTTTACATGTACCACTTAAATTAAAATATATGAGATGTTTTATTAATAATAACCATATTATATTAGACAACAATATATTCGCAATATTATATTAACAATTCATTAACAAAATAACATATTAAACAAATTAAATTAATAATTTATATATAAATTTATTATTATATCAATATGGAAGAAACAAAACTTTTCATATAATTCTCGTAACATCAAACCAACTTTTTTCAAACAAAAGAGTTTGTACTTGGAAACATAAATGTTTATGCAGTGATCAAACAAAATCGACCCCACTTGCAACGTATAAATGTGCGGACAAGTACCCCGCACAGTATGCGACAGAAATTCGATGGTGCTAC